TTCTTTGTTTTCCTTCTTTTCAACAAGGTGCCTTCCTGTGACACAACTGATCACTCTCAAAGTAAAGTGAATCGAAGAAACCATAGAACACAGATGGTACTTTTTACCCGCATAAATTCAAGAGTGTCCCTTTTTTTTTTTTTTTTGGTTGATGGTTGGTTTTGGAGGATTTTTTTTTTTCCCCAACTGGTGGGGGGAAGAAGGGGACCTTGCCTCCCTCTTCATCCCCAAGCCTCTCCCAGCCCTTCCCTGTCCCCAGCGGCACCTCCTGCTCCTCCCGAGGAGCCCTTGGGGGCTGGGAGAGGGCTGATTGTAAAGGTTTGGCCTCGTGATTGCTTTTTTATATGGCACAAGTCACCATCGAGAGCTCGGAGGAAACGATCCCTTTGAAGCTAAGTACCATTGCTCCAGAAATTCGCGTTTAAGGCAGGTTGTTAATTGGCAAAAAAAAAAAAAAAAAAAAATCTGGTGTCTTTTTGGTAAGTTGCCGGTCTTTGTTGAGCTTGTTTGGTTGTGGTTTCTGTTGTTATTCCCTTTTATTTTTTGGAGGAGGGTTGGTTTTTTTCCCTTTCAATCTCGTTGGGGAGCTTTCCCCCTTCTCACACCCAGGGCTGGATCTCACCACCAGATCGCTCGGATTTTTCTTTTCCCACCGTGCACCGACGTCGGCTCCCAGGAGGGAAATTTTATTTGGTTGTCGTCGTCGTTGTTGCGTTTTTGGTTTTGTAATTTCTTTGGTAACAGAGATGAAGAGGAGGGATGGGAGGGGACAAGAGTGTGTCGAAGGGTGGATGGGGTGAGAGGCAAAGCCAACACATGTACTTTGTCTGTGTCCATTCCTCAGCCGAAAAGTGAGCCAGAAATCCAGAGGTGAAAGGTGGAGCCAGTCACCAGGAAAGAACAGATCCTTCGCTCCGAGTCTCTCCTCCCGTCTCCTCTCCAACAATTGTTATTTTTAAGTACCCGATTTCTGTAGCTAAAATGTGCTTCTTGGACCTGCTGGGGCGCCGGGCGGCGCAGAGCAGTGGGGTCCCCTCGGGGTGGGGGTGCTCGGGTCCGTGGAGGCAGGAGGTGACTCCTTCACCACAGAGCTTCTCTGGGAGGGATCTGGGAGCAGGGTGCTCTCGTGGGTGGGGGGCTGCGAGGGGCCTGGGCTGTGGGTGCTGCTGGGGGTGTCCGGGGGGATCAGAGGAGGATGCCCATAGAGGAAATGGGGGGTTCAGGGATGTCCTCAGCCAGGTTTCCAAAACCCTCAAGGGACAGAAGTGCCACGTGGCGATGGCACAGAGGGTCTGGCTGCCCTGGGGAGCCCACTGCACCTGAGCAGGGAAAGCCTCCAGCAAGGAGACCTGGCAGGAGCCCGGGAGCCCTCCAGGCACGCCCGGAGCTCTTCCCCTGCTCGGTCCCCTTTGAACCACGGCAGGTCTGGCCCTGGTGCAGTGGGGCTGTGCCAGAGCCCGGCCTGGGACACTGCTCCTTGTGTCACCCCCACCTCTACCCCTCCCCTGTGGGAGCCACAAGGATGGCTGGGACAGAGACCAAGGCTGGTCGAGAGGTCAGCACAGGCCCCTCTCCCCCAAAACCTTCATGGGCAGGGGGAGACGGGGCTCTGTGCCCCCCAAGGACCAGGGATGCTTCCTTCTGAAGGGATGCCTCCATCCCACACCACCCACGGGTTTCCTCTGAGCCCTCCCGGGGATGGAGTGACCTGGCCACAAACCCTGTCCCTGCGCCACGAGCTGGCAGGAACTGGCAGCAGGAACTGGCAGCAGGAGGTGGCAGCAGGAGGTGGCCCTAGGCCCACGTCCATGGGTGCCACCCAGCTGAGGGTTTGGGAGGTGAACAAACCCACCCCGAAAGCACCCACCCCGCTCAGGCCGTGCGTGCGAGTCTGGGGTTGGCTTTGTCACGAGGGGGACATCCAGGAAGGGGCAGGGAGGGCTGGGGGACATCATGCTTTGGAGAAAGTGCTTGTAGACGACGAGGGGACCCCGGGGTTGGCGCCCGGCTCCTCCTGCCAGCGGTTCATGCACCGCCGGCGGGCGTTCATGAAGAAGTTGCTGACGGTGTTGAGCTCCAGGCCCAGCTGCTGGGAGATGGTCATCTGCATCTCCTTGGACGGGCGCTTGTTCTCCTTGAAGATGGCGATCAGGGTGCGGCGCTGCAGGTCCGTGAAGACCAGGCGCTGCTTCTTGGGCTGCAGGCTCCGGTCCTTCTGCTGCTCCTGCTCCTTGCGTTTGCAAGCTGGAGATGTTCAAAACAGAGAACAGGGATGTTAGTTTGGGGTTCCCCACCCTGGCCCGCTTGCAGCTTGCCCAGCTTGCCTCCCGAAATCCAGGCCCTTCCCACCAGGAAACTCGCTGGCTCGTGTCCCACCACTCCCCGTGCCTCCTGAGAAGGGACAATGGCCTCTTGTGACAGCCCAGGAAAAGTCTCAGCATCTCCGGCTGACCCTGGGACTGAGGAAAGCCCTGGACTGCTCTGTTCCCAGAGACTGTCTACTGGATTCATCCCTAAATTCTGGGGGTTATCCTTCGGCCTCACTCGCCTCCTCATCACACCTGTGGATGGCCCTGGAGGACTCAGGGAACCGGTGGCTCCTGGCCACCACATCCAGCTGCCAGCCTGGAAATGCAGGGCAGAACCAGGGACATTATGGAGAGGTCGCTCTGCAGCCTTAATCCCACAGGATCAGCTTGGCAGGACCAGTCATGGACCCACCTGCTCTGGGAAGGGTTTTCCTGCCTGAGTCACTGGAGGCTCCAGGAAATTCTGTCTCCCCTGTGTGCCTTTGCTACCAGATCCTCTGGCACATTTGTCAGCACTGAATTAAAAGCCTTCCCCACAGGTTTGGTTGGAGGCAAAGGTCAGCACAGAGGGGCTGTCATGAGGGAAAGCCAGGAAAGCCCCCCTGACCCCAGCACGCTGCATGAGGGCAGAGAGGGAAGTGAGTGAAATAAATAAATATATGAATTTTAATTGTGGGGATATCAAGCACACTGTTGGTGGAAGAGATGGGACAAGGGGACCTTTGCTATGATATTTTCCTAGAAAAGCGTAAAATGGTGGAGGTGGCTGATCCAGTCCCTGCTCAAAGCAGGGCTGACCCTGAAGTTGTCAAGGTTTGATCTGAGTGATCAGGGACTCGAACAGACACGGAACTGCAGGAACCTGAGATGCCACGGACAAGGCAGAGCATGGACCTGACCCTACAGGGCTGGGGACAAAGCATTTCCTCCTGGGAAGCTCAGCAAAGAGAGAGCAAACTGTGGGCTGAAGACTTCCCAGAGGAAGTCTCACTTTTGCCTGGGGCAGCAGCAGTGTTCACTTTGGGCTTTCTGGGTTCAGATCTTCTGAAGGATTTTGCAGGGTCCCTGGAGACATTTGCTGTCTGGGTGGCAGATTTCAGCTTGCTTCTCTCAGGCACTTGAAGGCACTTGAACCTCTTTGGCCTGGAGGGCTCAAAGCGAGTTCCAAGCTCCAAGCACAGAGCCCAGAGGCTCCAGAGGCCGAAATGCTGCAGGGGCACGGGACAGGTTAGGGTCAGGGTTAGGGTTAGGGTTAGGGTTAGGGTTAGGGTTAGGGTTAGGGTTAGGGTTAGGGTCAGGGTTAGGGTTAGGGTTAGGGTTAGGGTTAGGGTCAGGGTTAGGGTTAGGGTTAGGGTTAGGGTTAGGGTTAGGGTTAGGGTTAGGGTCAGGGTTAGGGTTATAGTTATGGTTAGGGTTAGGGTTAGGGTTAGGGTTAGGGTTAGGGTCAGTGTTAGGGTTAGGGTTAGGGTTAGGGTTAGGGTTAGGGTCAGGGTTAGGGTTATAGTTATGGTTAGGGTTAGGGTTAGGGTTAGGGTCAGGGTCAGGGTTAGGGTTAGGGTTAGGGTCAGGGTTAGGGCTAGGGCTAGGGCTAGGGTTAGGGTATTCCCCTTGGGCTAAATTCCTCCCTGCTCTCCAAACACGTCCAGAGCCACAGGGAAGGCAGTGCTTAGTTCAGGAGTTTTGGGTGGGTGTTTGGAGTCATTTCTTCCTGACTGGAAAATAAGCAATCTCCTCCTCCTGCGGTTTTTCAGCTGCCTGCACTATCAGCCCTCTTCACTTCAATTTGAACTGAGTGGGAAGGATGACTTCCACCCATTCCACCCAGAGCTGTGGGATTCTGGAGCTCACTGAAGGATACCAACTCTGCAACAGACTGTGCTCTGTGTCCCAGCTGCTGGGCTCAGTCCCCACGCCGTGCTGGGAGCCACCAGCTCTGCTCCCAGTGGGCAGGGGATGGGAGGCACCGAGCTGGACACCACCAACCACTCTCAGTCCAAACCAGCCAGCCCTGGTAAAGCCACTGGAGAACTTCCCCTCCCCTTCTCCCCCCTAGTCAGGGTTGGCTGCTCACCACCATCCTTAGGGACAAAGGGACACTGAGTGACGCCAGGGGACCCCCTTACTCAAACAGCCAGCAGAGAATGTGGAAACCTACCCTATGACCATCAGATGCTTGCAAAAAGAACAAAAAAAAAAAGCCTTTATAGAAAATTTGACTTTTTTCCCCCCAGACATGAATTTAAAGAAAAGAACCCACCCTAAACATCCCCCCAAACCCAAAAACAAACAGAAAAACTCCCCCACACTTGTGCCCCAAGCCCACCCTCCCCAAGCCCTCCCAGCACCCTGGCATGCTCATCTCCTCCTGTGTCCAGGGTGGGCTCCTCACACTCCACCACGGGGCTTTTGCCCTGCAGGATCTGCCGTGGAATGTCTCCCATATGGATGGGAGATGTGACCCAGCGGTCACCCTGGCAATCCTTGCTCTCCTTTCTGCTGGCACCCACTCCCACCGCTGTGCTGGACATCCAGCCCAAGGCCCAGCCTTTCAGCCTGTTCCTTTTTTAGCAGTGATTATTACACCCCAGTCTCCCATTAATAACCCTGAGCTCCGAGGCAAACACAACCCATCAGGGTAAAACTGGGCTCCTGCAGCAGAACCGGTGCCATTATCCAGGCACAGGTGACACCCTGCTCCTCACCCCTGCTCTTTTGGGTTATTTCTGGCCTGCGCTGCCGCTGGCGGCCGCATCCCACATTTCCTGTGCTGGTTTGTTTATTTATTAATTTCCCTTTCTGCTGACGCAGCCCCACGGCCCTCTCCCCCAGCTCGATCTAATTACAGCTCCGCACAGCAGCGATCGATGGCCACGCTGCTCTGATCTATTTACGGCAGCCATCAGCCCCTCGGCGGAGGATCTTTTTCCCATTCCCCATCCCCTGGGCGCTGCTTTGCCAGGCAGGCTGGCCGTGGCTGTCCCCACGTCCCCGCAGCAGCCAGGGCCGAGGGGCAGCCAGGGGCACGGCTCTGCCTCCCTCCCGTATCAGCCGTGGGTGAGGTGTTTTCTTTGTGCTCCAAAATCCCTTTTCCCCCCAAGTTCCAAGAACCAAACAGCCCAACCTTGGGTTAATGTTGTTCCTCCATCATGTCCTTCCCAACTCTCTGGAGTTGGCTGTGGGGATGGGGACATTTGATGGGGACATTTCCCCCCCTGCCTGTGTGTGTGTCCCCAAAGGCCGGGGTTTGCTTATTGCTGCTTCTCCTGCTCCTCCTGGGGCACAGAGGGACCTGGCAGCACCAGGAGCAACCACCCCGGCCCCAAGGCTCCAGAGCTGCAGGAGCATTTGGACGGCGCTCTCAGGGCTGCTCAGGGTGGGGCTGTTGGTGTTACGGGTAGTAGATATAACTCGCGCCATTTCTAGTATGATATATGTGATATTGAATATTTGTTAGAGTATACACGTTTGTATTAGGATTCCCCCCCACCCTCGCAGGCAAAACTGGGTGTATATTGGAAACTGATTTACAAGTAAGAAGGTGTGGCTCGGCCAGGAGATGGGGATGAGCCATGTCTGGAGAGATATGGGGGACCCCAGGAGTTGATCGTCACGTGAACGACCCGAGATGGATCTCATGGAAATCCTCGGGCAGATCCATGTGAATGCAGCATTCCCATACATTTCATCAAGGGATTTAGCAACTCTGGACACTGAATTGTTCTCCCTCTTCACCAAAAAAGAAAATCTTATTAACTTATAAATTCTAAATGGAAGAAAAGACTGACTGCCGAAATCTTGGCCTCAGGAGGAATTTTCCCTTTAAAAACCACTTGCGCCAGGATGGAGGTGTGGGCACAGAGGAAAACCTCTGCTGAGGCTGACTTCTGGTGCTGACCCTGGGCTCGGCTCTGTTCTTTCCTTGTGTCTGGCTAGATAGAATCTGATTGCAAAATAAATGTTTTATTTTTTCATATTAATTTGGCTGGACAAATTTTCATGTATAACATTGGGGTGTCTGTGCTGCTCAAGGGCTGGGCTGATGATCCCTGTGGGTCCCTTCCAGCTCAGGATATTCCAGCCTCCCACGGCTCTGCTGGCCACCAATGGGTTGGGCTCACCCACAGGGGGGTTTGCTCCTCTATCAAACCCTCCCCTGCTCCTTTCACGCCCTCCAAACCCAACCAAGGAGCCCAGCAGTGACAAGGGGGGATGGCAGACGCAGTGGGACGGGGTTGGTGGCGGCACAGATCCCTCCACACGCCAGGCACAGAATCCAAACAATCCATCCCCAAGGCGGCTCTGAGCTGGCTGCAGAAAAAACGCAGCGAGCAAAGCCAAGGAGGAACCTCGAGCAGGGAAAACAGGAGGAGAGAGCTCCAAAAAGCAGAGGCATCCCACCCTCCTCCCCCCCAGAGCACTCTGCCCGGGTTTCTGCCTCCCAGGAGCCTCATGTCACAGGCAGCGCGTTTTCCTTGACTTAACCTTGACAGCTCTGAGCAAAACATCTCCCAAATCATTTCAGAGGGGACATAATGGAGACAATCAAATGGCTGCTGCTCAGGAACTGCGATTATGCCTCGCAGCGTGAACCCCGCCAAGCATTTAACTAATACCTGATGGCTTTGCAGGCTTCCACAGCCTGTCAGACCCTGCTTTCTCTATTATACCAGCAAACCTCTGCTTTTCGGCCCCAGCGTGCTCTTCCCTCTCCATTCACTTGCAATACAACCTGTAATTTTCTGCCCACTTTGCTTAAGTGCTGGTGATTTGTTGAAATCACAAAAGACAGCCAGGGGCTTTCAGAGCCAGCACGGCGGCTGTAAGCAAGGTTGAGGGGGGGAAATTCTGCACAAAACCCACCAGTTTCTCACTTTTTCTCCTTGTCAAATCATCTCCCAGGGGTGGAAGAGGACTGAGGAGCATTTATGGGCTCAG